ATGTCGGGTTAGAAATTAAAAATCCGTTAATTATATATATATATATATATATATATATATATATATATATATATATATATATATATATATAGTGGTCATTATATATATATGTTTTTCCAAGAGGATAGAATCCAGGTAGATCTCAATGTCCAGGACAGAGAAGGCTGATGAAGTGGATCGTGATATATATGTATGTATAAGTGCGTAGGTATGCAGAAAATAGAAAAGAACACGTTGGGTGCATAATCCGGGGTTCCTTAGTATTTTTGTTTTTATTTTTAAGAAGACAGTGCTCCATACAGAAGTAGAGCTTATATTATAATAATATTTTTTGTTTAAAAATATGATTCCTTCGTTACATAAGAGTTCTCATGTTTCAAAAACGAGAGCCGAAATATCTAAATAATTATTAAAATTAAGTTGGATTGTGATGTTTAGTCCCGTTTCAAGCGAAATTTTAGGAATAAGCTATCTGTCGGTTTACGTGTATTTTTAGGCACGGTCCGTTACAGAATTCGTTATTGTGGGAGTGGCTAGACTATTTTCCTTCGTTAAGTGGTCAGAGAGTTAATTCTTATCAATAGATTCATCATCTTCTAAGAGGCTTTGCTAAGGTTGAGTAGGGTATCTATTTCAAGGCTAATGTTTGCGGTCACCCTTTAGTCAGTTCCCAGTGAGGGATATTTTTATGGCGTGCCTACAATCGTTATGTGTCTGGGGAATTGTCTTTTATTATTGTCCATCTGATTATCTATTTATTTATTTGTTATAACAAGTGGGTGTTTTATATACAGATCGCATTGCACTGAATTTCAATTTGTTTTTTTGTTTTTTGACGACTACAAAAAGGGTTTTTCCTATTTAATGATTTGGCTTAGCTTTTAAGAATTTTTACTTAGCTATGGGATTTTTTTTTATATGCTAATTATTTAATGCGAAAGTTTGTTGATGTCTGCAAAAAACCGTTAACTCCTGCCTATGGTTTAATAATTTTTCATCATTTAGAAATTTAATGATGTGTAGTTTTTCCTGTAGGCATGAAGGGCATGGGTCATCCCAAGTTTTACAGGTTCTTGTTTTATTTACTATTTTCCATTTTACTTTTGGTGTTTTATTCGTTTCTTTTAGATGCCAGAAATATTGGGATAGAGATGTCTGATTTCTATTTTGAACGTTTTTGAAGGAGCTCTTGTGTTGCCTCCATCTAATTTTAAAATTATTCTTTGTTGAGCCTATGTATATCCTATCAGTGTTAGGACTCTCAATGGATGAGATAGTGCACTGGTATACCACAGATTTTGTGAGGCATTTATTTTCCAACGGGCAGTTTTTAGGGTTTCTACAATCACATAATTTTTCGTTATTTTTATCCAATTTTTTAGTTTATGTGTTTTATTACTGTTTTGGTATGCGTGTTTTTCTAGGATTTTCTTATTATGTCTTTTTATGATTCTTTCTATATTTTCAGTGCAGCTGTAACTCAATTTCAAGGTGTTTTTGTTAAAGATGTCGGTAAGTTTGCTATTAGTGGAAAAGTGCTTTTCAATTAAAGCTAGGAACTTATGGCCTAGTTTGGTGCTGACCATTTGGTTGTACGGTGGGGGGTATACCAGATGATCTTTCTTTTCCTGTTTTTCTTATTATTGGTACTATCGTTTCTGTAGGTTATGTCAGCGTTTTTGTATCCGCTATTTTTCAGGGCTAAACCAACGGTGTTATTACGCTCCCTGTTCTTATTATAGTTTACAGGGGAAAAATGGGAGGCATTACTTTTGGAACAACGATGTATAGCCAGTAGTAAAGTCTATATTGAAAAAGAAGGGTTTTGTAGCGGAAAACTTACTCGATCCAGAGGTGTTATTGTGCTCCGTGAATCTTCTGTAGTTTATTTGGAAATAGATAGAAGGTATTATTTTCGGAGCGACAATGGTAAAAACTATGTGGAAAATAAGGTTTTAGTAGCTGAAAACCTTCTTAATCCACGCTGTTTTTTTTGTTTTTTAATCAGTTTCATCACAAGCAAGACATTAAAACCTCTGAGACACAAGGGGTTACTAAGTGTGAAAGACATAGAAAACAGAAACACCAGTAAGAAGCGAGTACAAAAGAAGAGTAATCATGAGAACAGTAGATAGCGATTGGCATTGCTTTTTAAATTTTTGAAGATTAAAGTTGGCTAGAAAGCATGGGGCTGGAATGGAGTTCCACAAGCGAGAACTACGGGAAAGAAACTGTTAGCATAGTACTTTCGGTATCATCTAGTCAACTCAACTGTATATTAATCAGTCTCGTTGGCAGTCTCGTACTGCGCTTATATTCATAAAGTCTACGTACCTGTTATATAGGAATAAAATGACGCTACCGAAACTGGAATTTGAACACAGATCACCAGTGAGGAAACACAGGTGATTCCATTTTTAATAAGTAAACCACGTGATGGTAAAGGAAATGTATATATGGGAATTAGCGTGACGTCTAAACGATGACTATTTCTACACTATTCTCTATTACTATACGGATCGCTATTCTCTATTCTATTCACTATACTATTTCTCTATACTGATCACTATACAGATTACTATTCGGATCTCTATTCGGTGGTTACTATTCGAGCGAGTATTATCGAGCAAGTACTATTAGTGTGAGTGTTATTCAAAGGCGTCTGACACCAGTATTGTTCAACAGCGTTACGATAGTTTTATCTGCGATTACAAGGTCTCTACTACAACGAGCATGACAAAAGTGACAACAAGTGTTCGTTGACATCACAAAAGTAGCATAGCAAAAAACTCATCCGAACTATTAACATGAAAGTATTTATAAAAAAGGCACAGAGAAGCACCTTTTATGCGATGTAAAAGTGACTGATGTCGAGACACAAGATCAGAATCAATGATATTGCTGATTCTTCATTGGATTTTATCAAGAACTAGCAGCATGGTAAGTGCTTGATTCAAAAATCGTACGACTCATACAGCAATCGCTATCACTTGACTTAAAATATTTTTGTCCTTCCTTGCCTTTGCCGTGCTGATGTTGCTACATGCTTTACTTCTTGCCTATCTCACACTGCGAATTTTTCGAAGCTCTATACTAAACATTAAATCTGTTACAAAAAAAGAACTAAACAAAATGAACACAAAACGATCAGCTTTAAAAAAAGGACTCGTGACTGGAAAAACTGAATGAAAAAAATGTTAACAACAAACACTTTTTCACACCCAACCCAGTTGTGCGGAATCAGAATCAACGTTGAGTTTAAGCAAGCGAATGAGCCAATTGGAGTAAAGTGCCATGCAAATTTAAATTTTTCCCACTTGTGACGAATGCAGCTATCGATTTTTTTGCATGCATGCTAGTTAACATTCGTGTCAGTCAGCTGTTGGCTCTCACGCTGACCAGTAGAATCTTCCTGCCTATTCGTGGCAGCCAACTATAGGCTCTCACTCTGGCCAGTAGAAAATGGCCGCAAACTACATGAAAACTGTCGTAGAAGCATGAAAAAATCGATTATTTCCACTATCGATGGGAGTTGGGAAATGCAAAGTCGGTCTTGGCCTTCCCTCTAACTTGGAGCATGTGCATGTACATTTTGGTGCAAATCCGTCGAAAATTGCGGCCGTGTATTCGTTACACACACACACACACACACACACACACACACACACACACACACACACACATCCTGCCTTTTATAGATAGAGATCTCTAGATATATAGCAGGAACTACAGACCATATGTGGCAGCAATATTCTAAGCATGGACAAATGGTAGACTTACAGATAGATTCTGGAGAGAAAAATGTCTAGCACGACACTGAACTTTCTTAATATGTTGACCGAGCAATGGATTCAATATAGTCTTTGCACTTCATGTCAACCGAGAACGTTACACTGATAAGTCACAACGAGTCAATCTTGCGGAAATTAGCATCAGTCATGTTGATATAAGGGAGAAAGGCGGTCTCAGAGAGAAGCTTACTTTTGGAGACGTTAAAATTAACAAGCCATCCTTCGCCTCAGTTAACAATAGATCGTTTTTGACATCAGACACCAATTTGACCTGATCGAGCCGATCGGGCTTATTATCGAGACAGGAGTACATGGTTGCGTCATTAGCAGAGAGAGCCATCGGGAAGGTGATTAATGTAAATGAAAACCTTGGGGAACACCTGCATTACTACGAAACGATCTGGAAGAGTGGCTATTCAGGATAAATATTATTGTGCTTCATGTATCTGCTGTAGTTTCCTTGAACAAAGATAGAAATTATTTACGGAGAGACAATTCATAGTCAATGATGATAACTATGCGGGTTAAGGTCGTGTTTATTTTTACAGTAAGGTTCACCCTGTACAAGGGCTGGATGACAGTCGTGGTAGAGGGTTAAGTTAATGGGTAGTTTATAAGGATAGGAGTGGAAGGTTAACTCTAGACTTGAACAGATTAAGATTGCAGTGATCGTGGAAACAACCTCTTGGCAATCTGTTCCACAGAGCAGTGGTTCGCTGGAAGAAGCTGTTTGTGCTGAACTTACTTCTCACAGATGGAATGCGCGGAGATTGTGGGTGGTTTGCTACTAAGTGGCATGGTCCTAGCCATGATGGTTAGACCTTGCAGAACCAAGGAATGTAGTTCGTCCGAGCACTTTCTATGGAAGTAGCGATAGAGTAGTGAGAGACTCGCCACATCATGCCTGTGAGACAGAGGTTGGAGGGTGGAAAATAATTTTTCTCCAACAAGGGTTCGGAGACGCTTTTGAATTCTATCAAGACTGGAAAGTGAGGACTATTGTAACACCCGTGGAATTTAATATGAGTATCTTTCTTTCTTTCTTTCTTTCTTTCTTTCTTTCTCTCTCTCTCTCTCTCTCTCTCTCTCTAGTGTGTCTGTGTGAGTGTGCATGCATGTATCTCTCTATCTTTTGTTTATTCGTTCGTCCCCTCTTTTCTATTCTTTCTTTTGTTGACATTTTTCCCTTACCCTTTATTTATTTTGGCTTACGGCCGTATAACTTCTAAATACCGGTTCCTGTACGATCACCGAATATAAGCAACGTCGAGCCTGTTCAGTACCTAGATGCGTGACCACTTGGGAATACCAGGTGCTGTAAGCTTGGATGTGCGAGTGGTGTAATAGGTAATGGAATTGTTAATCGGAGAACCGAGTTCCAATTTCCGCTGGGTTCTTTATATTCAATTTCGCGCAAATACACTTGACGAAAGCTACGAATCCACCTCTTCTCCCCAAAGCTATGGGTTAATTAGTAATAATTGTATCACTAAATCATTATTATCCCCAAAAAAATCTTAGAATCTAAAAATATTTTCTGGGTTTAAATAACCTGTAACAGCTTGATAAATCATAATAAATAAATCAAATCAAATCCTCGTGGCAAATTAACTGTTAATATCCAATATTTCAGGGAGAAGTTTTGTTTTTTCAGATTGTTCTTACTTTTGCGATACCTGCCATTGTTTGTGCTGGTTTTTCAAATTATTGGTTAGTTGGAGTCCACTTTCATGGTACCTGAACCACGACAATTGAAATGGCTGAAAACTCTAATGTTGTGACCACTGATTTCTACAATCACAAAAGTCGTTGAAAAACAAATCAATCAATCAATGGCTTCGTGTATGTGCGTCTGTGAGAGTATTCGCGCGTATATGTCTCATTTTCTTTTGTTTATTCGTTCGTTCCTTCGTTTTTTATTCTTTCCTTCGTTCGTTTGCATTTTCCTTTTCTCTATTTCCTTTCAGTTTTCTATCTTTCCTTTCACATCCTCCTTTCTTTCTTCACACACTCTTTCCTGTCTTGCTTTCACTTTAATTTCCTTCTATATTTTCCACCTTTTCTTTCTTGCCTTTTCCCGTTATTCTTCTCCAACATTGCTTCATTTTTTTACCTTCTTTTTCTTCGCTTCCTTTTTACAACTTGTTCCAAAGTTGTCTTCTTCCTCTCTTTCCTTGATGCCTTTCTTGTAAACTTTATATCTAATCGCAGATGGCGAAGCGATCGATAACCGATCGATATGAATAATAAACTCGTTTTCATTGATTGCTGCTAATTTTTCTTTTCTCGTCAGTCACCAGCAGTTGCCAATAAGAAATCAATTATTCATAAATTCAGTCAAATAGCTGGTCACCGCCCATATTCCCAAGTAAATATCTTTTAAAATAATGGAGAGGCTGGTCAACATTAAGATTTATCTTTCTTAGTTAACCCAACAAGTTCAGACCAAAGGCCAAATAGTTGTCAACATAAACAGGGTATCCCAAAAGTGACCTAGGTAATTAAAAATGTCACAATATGTCCGAATTTTCATAATTTTTGCCTGAAAAAAGAAACAAAATGGTGGAATTTAATTTTTGATCTGAATTCTGATTAGTAAAGCGAATCAGGCCAGAGATAGGACAAGAACAATGCGGGTTTAGTAAAGACACCGGAAAAAGAAACGATATTTATGCTCATAATGTTATCAGAAAGAGCAATACAAATGCAGAAGAACGTGTACCTTTGTTTTATAGACTACCAAAGGCGTTTGTCAGAGTACGCCACAAAGATCTGTTAGAGCTGCTCAGCAACCTTGAAATATTCAGGAAAGACATTAGAATAATCAAAAATCTCTACTGACAGCTAACCTCCTGCATACGGATAAAAAATGACTTCAGCAGATATACAAAAATAAAAAGAGGTGTAAGGCAAGGTTGTGTCTTCTCACCGGACTTATTCAACCTATACAGTGAGGCAATTCTGAGAGAATTGGAAATCCTACCAGGAGTCATCATAGGTGGCCACAATCTTAACAACATTAGATACGCAGTTTACACAGTGCTGATAACAGACACGGAAAGAAAACTGCAAAACCTCCTACAGAAGGTATCAAAGGAGAGCAAGAAGAATGGACTAAGTATAAACTACAAGAAGACAGAATGCATGGTCATCAGTAAAAGGATGAGCCCAAAATGCAATTTACAGGTCGGAGACACTAAAATCAAGCAGGTAAAGAAATTTAAATATCTGGAAATATTTTGACAGGACGTAAAGTGCGACACTGAGATCCGAAGACATATTGGGATGGCCAAAGATGCATTCCAAAAGCTAAGCAGAGTATTAAGAGACAGGAAAATTTCGTTGGAAACGAAGAAAAGAATACTGAACTGTTACGTGATATTTGTCCTCCTGTATGAGAGTAAATGCTGGACAGTCTCAAAGATGAAGAAGAGACTCGAAGCAAAAGAAGTGTGCTTGTACAGAAGGATGCTGCGGATACTATGGACCGAGCATGTGATCAAAGACAAGGCTTTGGAGAGAATGGAAACAAAGATGAAACTTATACTTATAACATCAGGAAGAGGCAGCCGAAATTTCTGGGACACGTAATGAAAAAGGAAGGCTTGGGAAATCTGATACTCACAGGACGGATAGAGGGAAAGTAAGACAGTGGAAAGAAATGCGTAACATACTTAATGGGCTTGAACAAGTGGATGACGGAACATGGCCTGGAAGAAATAAGACAAAACTTATTAAGAGCTACAAGGTCCAGGATGGGGTGGACCACGATCTATTATGTCCTGAAGGGACACAGCATAGAAGAAGAAGAAGAAGAAGAAGAAGAAGAAGAAGAATGACCGTGCAATGACAACCAGTAGTGAGTGTTATCGAGTCATGATCGAAATTGTTTCTTGCATCTAAGTGCAAAAGAAAATTGAGATGTGGTTTCAACAAAATAAACCCACCGTTTACACAGCATGGTGAAAATGAAGATTCTTAAGCAAACTTTTTTGTTCAGCAGATAATTTCACGAAATTTCGAAGTTTTATGATCAGCGCGTTCTCCTGATATAGCCACAGATACTCCGGTTAGCAGTAATTCGAGTCTTTTCTAACCGGAAGTTCTCTGTGGCTGAACAGTCATACCCCACCAGGCTTAATGACTTCCGTACTGGTTCCGTACAGGATACAGGTTCGATTTCTGTCGGAAGATGCATATTTTCTACGAAATTTCTCGAACATTCAGGCCGGTAAATGTAATTAATACTGTTTGATTAAAAAAACAGAGCATTTACTCAAATAAATGTATCCATAAAAACCTATAAACAGAATATATATATATATAAATATGTAGAGAGAGAGAGAGAGAGAAAGAGGGAGAGAGAGAGAGAGTCCGTCCTCAAAAATGTATACAAACTTCAGGAAAGGAAAACCTTGTATTTCATAGTTTTAGTAAATTGCGATAACACTGTTTACCATGGAGACCATAAAGCATGGTGTGTATTGCAGCAAACTGATTGTTTGCCGTACAATAAATGTCTGTGGCCACTGTTTTGATCCATCTCGTGATTGTATCGTTCAAAGGTAACTTAAATTAATATTGTGATGTCTGAATATATTTAGTATTATAATATCTATACAAGTTTTTTCCTTTCCTAATATATGCATACATTTTTGGGCGGACTGTGTATATATATGAGAATCAAACAACACAAAAACAAAAATACCCGCATTTTTTTCTTAGTTTTCTCCATATCTCATTCTCTGATGAAGCTTTAATAAAAGTGAAAGATGGTAGATTGATAAGTGTTTCCTAATTGTTCTTTATCCTATCATGTACATATTCGTTGGATGGGAATATCCCAAAAACGATATTTTTGTAGTTTTGTGCACACATTATTTTTCGTTAATTGTTAATCCAGCATTTTTAACTTACTCAAAACCACCATTTTAATTTATCGTCGTTATGTGTCATCCTGGCATAAAATAACTTGCCTAGACGTTTTTTTAATTCCATCAAACTTTCCATCTTAATAAAGCTTAGATGTTTTCATATCCACCAAACCGATTCAATTGTATAAAATTACTGGGTTTCCTTTAATTTTTTTTTAGTTTTTTCCTGGTTTTATGAGGGGAGACATTTTCCTTTAATTTCTTCAATCAATTTTGTCAAGTTTCTGGATCATGGGTCTTTCATAGTTTGCTACGATAATTGGTAATATGTCAACGTTCCACGTCATTCGTCACACCGATTCAATTGTATATGGATTTCCTTTAATCTGGTTTTTCTAATTTCTTCAACAAGTTTCTGGGTAACATTTCCTTATCTAGATTCGATTCGGTTTTAATAGCCCTTTTTCATTTTTTTTCATTTTCACTGAAAAGACGTCCATACTTATTTCGTCTTCATTTTGTTGGACCGTCTCTACGTTTTTCTTTTTGGATTTACATATACGTTTAGAATGATACATTTTGAAACATTTTTCACATTTTGTTTTATATGCTGAACATTTTTGTTTTTGTATTTGATATTGATATCCACAAAAGGTACACCTTATTTTATTTTTTTCTTTATCGCTTTTTTTTCGGTGTAGTAAAGAACAATGTTTATGAGAGAAATCCCCACACAGTGTACGAATTAAAATACTACATCTCAGAAATAGTTATTGAAACTGATGTAGATCAGGAATTGTGTCATGCTGTGTGTCATAGTGTTTCGAGAAGGTTCGAGCAATGTTGCAATGTTGAAGGGGGACATTTTGGGCACGTAAGAGACTAAACTGTGCCAAAAATGTAAGTAAAGTCTCAAGCAAATGTACATAAACAGTTTTGAACAAATATGATTGTAAAAAATAAAAATAAATGTAATAAAAAGTTTTAATAAAATGTAAAGTGCATACATGCTAAGTGTAAGCCTACTTTTAGTCCACCGTGTATATTAGGGAAAAGCTATGACAAAGTGGAAAAAAGTTTTCGTGTGATGCGTTTCATTCTTTACGACTTCATAGGACTAAACTGAGTGTCATTTACATTGATGCGACTACACATAAGCATGAAGGAGAGGGGACTCTGAGAATTTTTTTAAACATCCGATGAAGTCCTAAAGGACAAAACGCATCATATGAAAACTTTTCCTACTTTATTACAGTTTTTGCCTGAAGATATATATATATATATGAACAATATATATAAGTGAACAATAAAGTCAACACGCAGAGGCGACAGGCTGTTTCATGCTAGACGCAATCGTCAGGCCGAAACATGAAACAACCTGTCACCTCTGAATGTTGACTTCAATGTTCACTTTTATATTTACATACGCTCTATCTCTGATATTGAGC